TTGAAATGGAGATCATCAATAGAACTCCATTATGATCAAGCTTTAAAAACAAGAAGATAATATAAGATAAACTTGAGAATTAAAATCAAGATTGAGATGAGTGAATTTAGAAATCAAGAAGAAAAAAGAAAGAATTGATCAATTTGTTTGGGAGAAAATGGGAGAAAATGGAGGAAGTTATGGGAAGTTACTAAAATGCAAAATGAGAAGGATATGAAAAACACGTGAATAAAAACAAGTAAATAAGGAAATATAATTTAGATTAAAATGAATCTAGATGGAAAAATGGTAAAAAGGGAAAATCAAAACATTTTAATTTAGGAGAGAAAACTCTAAACATAATCCTTGGTATAATTGCTTCATAGATTTTGGACATTGTGAAAATTTACAAAATGATCACTGAAATTATAATTTTCAATTCCTTCAATTCAGTCTCCAAATCATTTAATTAAATTTTTGTAATTAAAATTAATCATCTAAAATCATTTAAAACCTTTCCAAAAATATTTTTAAAACCAAAATATGAATTTTTTAAATTTTTCTTCATTTTTATTGAAAATCCATAAATCGACCCAAAAATGACCATAACTACCAGACCCAACTTTAGGACGTTACAACACCAGTGTCCATGACACCTTATCACATGGCACCAAAAGAATTGAGAGAGCTTAAGGTTCAGTTGCAGGAGTTATTGGATAAAGGTTTTATTCATCTCAATACCTCTCCATAAGAAGCTCTCAAGCTCATTGTTAAGAAAAAAGATGGATCATTACACCTATGCATTGAGTATCGAAAGCTTAATAAGTTAATGATTAAAAAAAGATAAATATTACCGCGCATCGATGATTTGTTTTATCAGTTCTGAGGTGTAACTGTTTTCTCTAAAATCAACCTCCGATATGGCTATTATCAACTTAAGACAAAAGATTATGATGTTCTTAAACGATTTTTCAAACTTGATATAGTTATTACGAGTTCTTAGTGATGCCATTTAGGCTGACTAATACCCCTACTACTTTCACGAATATGATGAATCAAGTATTCCAATAGTATTTGGATCGGTTCATCATTATGTTTATCAATAATATTCTGATTTATTCTAAGTTTGACACTGAGCACGATGAGCATTTGAGAGTTGTTTTACAGACTTTGAAGAAAAACAACTTTATGCGAAGTTCAATAAATGTGAATTCTGGCTTAGCGAGGTAATGTTCTTGGGTCATATTATTTCTGCTAAGGGTATTTTTATCGATCTGAAGAATATTGAGGTTATTCTAAACTAGAAGCAACCTAAGGGTATTTTCATTGATTGTAATTTCTTTGACGAAACTTCTGATAAAAGATGTAGCTTTTGTTTGGGGTTAAGCTCAACAGTCAAGTTTTGAGTAGTTGAAATCAGTTTTGACTCAAGCTCCATGAGTGTAACTACCCTACTCATCATCTAGAGTTAGTTGTAATGGTATTTGTGTTGAAAATTTAGAGACACTGCCTATATGGTGAAAAATATTATATCTATACCAATCACAAAAGTATTAAATATCTGTTTACTAAAAAATATCTTAATTTGAGACAACGACGCTGCTTGAAGTTCCTAAAAAATTATGATTTTGAGATTGAGTATAATCTTGGAAAGGCTAATGTGGTTGCCAATGCTTTGGGTCGTAGAGCGACCACTGATTTGAGAGTTATGTTCGCTAGCATGAGTTTGTATGACGATGGTAATCTGCTGTCAAAACTTCAAGTTAAGCCCACTCTGGTGGTTAAGATTAAATTGAAGCAACCTCTAGATGCATCTTTGTTTTCGTTTTCCAAACGAGCTGAGCAGGGTTTTGATTTAGAGTACACCTTCGATGAGGATGGTTTATTGTGTTTCTAAGGACGTAATTGTGTTTCGATTAATCCTATGTCACAGAATGCTATTTTCCAAGAGGCTCACAATAGTCCTTATTTTATGTATCTCGATAGTGTTAAGATGTACCAGAATCTTAGGGAAATATACTATTGGTTTGGTTTGAAAAGATATGTCGTTGAGTATGTGGTTAAGTGTCTAACATGTTAGCAAGTAAATACTGAGCATCAGTTTTCGTCTAGTTTACTTCAACCCATTCATACTCCTACGTTAAAATGGGAGCGAGTAACCCTGGATTTTGTCAGTAGGTTGTCATTGACGTAGTTTAAGAAGGATTCAATATAAGTTATCATTAATCGTCTCACCAAGTCTTCTCACTTCATTCTGCTTTAGACTAATTATACCATAGATATATTGATTCAGTTGTATATTTCTAAGATTGTTTGCCTTCATAGGGTTCTTTTGTCTATTATTTCTAATCGAGATTCTAGGTTTATGTCACATTTCTATAAGGCTCTTCATGAGGCTATAGGTACCCATTAAATTTCAATAGAACTTATCACCCACAATCTAATAGTCAATCTGAGCGGATATTCAGATTTTAGAGGATCACTTGCCATTGGATGAGTGTGCCTGTAACAAAAGTTATCATACAAATATTCAGATGGCACCGTACGAGGTGTTATATGTTCGTACGTGTTGTAGGACTCGATCTTATTCAGGAAACCAAGAGTACAGTTAGGTTGATTTAAGAAAGGCTCAAAGTTGCATTTGATAGGCAAAAGTCTTATGCTGATATGAAGAGACGAGATATTGAGTTCAATGTAGGTGATCAAGTCTTTTTGAAAGTGTCTCCGTGGAAGAAGGTTCTCAGATTTAGCCATAAAGACAAGTTGAGACTGAGATTTATTAGACCTTATTAGATTCTTCTTTGAGTGAGACCAATTCCATATCATCATGAATTTCTGCCTGAGCTCAAGCGCATTCATGATGACTTTCATGTCTCTAAGTTAAGATGTTACCTTTTTGATCTGTCTTATACCATTTCTGTTGAGGATGTTGAGTTGAGATCTGATCTGACTTATGAGGAAGAGCATATTTAGATTCTTTCTCATGAGGATCGAGTTCTGAGAAGCCAACGTATAGTGATGGTTAAAGTTTTATAGAGTAACCATAGTTTTTTAGAGGCCACTTAGGAGACTCAATAGTCTATGGAAGAGCATTTTCCCCATCTTTTTCTTTCAGGTAAAATTTTGAGGTCGAAATTTCCTTAAGGGAAGAGTTGTAAATCCCAATTTTTGGGGCTGAATTAAAGTATTTTAAAACTTATGTGCTTATGTAAGAGTTTTAAAGAGTTAGAAGACTTGTAACGTAATTTACCCAATAATTTAGGGTTAATACCCATAACCATTTTTCATCTTTTTTTTAAATTTCCATCGTACTCTCTCTCTCATCCACACCCTATTCTAACCACATTTTGTATTGGGTTTTCTTTGATTCGTCGCTAACCATGTAGTGGTGTTCGAAACCTTCGATATTATTGTGTTCATGTTGTTGACCCTATTTGTTTGGTATACTTGGATTGTCATTCATCGTTGTCATTTGCAACCAATGAAAGTTTAAATATTCAGGCTTCATTAAAGCCCCATATTTATATATCTTTTTGGAAAACCAATGCTTGTAAGTGACTCTCCCTGTAGTCTAAAATAATTTACAAAAAAATTTCATAATTTTTCGGCCACCAGAGGAGGCCCCACAAACCCATATGTTGTCGTGCCCGAGCGGGCTTGTTTTTGCCAGTTCAGACAGTGAACCATTCTTGCCTTAAACAAGCTCTGAATTGGTCTGACTGAACCACTGATCGAACCATACCATTGCCCATTTACTTTAATCGTTGACCCCTATCTTAAAGTTTTTTATGTCCTTAATCTGATTCCGCGATATGTTTTCTAAATTCTGACTCGAAACCCCAATTTTGCATCATTTATCGCTTAAAGTATTAATTATGTTACGTAAATTGTGAGATTTTGGACTCACTTTTTTGTGTTATTTTCTGAAGGTGAACACGTGTCTCTGTATCGTTCTCCTGTAGATCCTGACCACTTTCGTTCAACTTAGTTTAGTTTTGCACGCTCGTCTCAAGATACTCATAAGTGTTATTTAGTGGCTTTATAGTCTATTTCTATTTCATTATATAGTTTCCATATTCATATAGTGGTGTTGTTTTTTGGTCCCTATTCCGCAAGACCTAGTACAATTAATCGTGGGAAGCGAAAGACTTAGCTGACGTCGATTAGCTATTATAGGTGTGTCCCCTTAACATGTTTGATACCTTTAATATTATATATTATTATGTTGTATGATGTTATTTGTACGTATTTACGTATTTTGATTACGTTTATATGGTTTATGATTTATTTCTGATTAATGTTGCATCACTTTTAATATGTATGTTGATATATTTTTGATTTTGTATAGGATTAACCCCGTCTTGATTCTGCACGAGATTATATCCCCGTCCTGATTTTGCATATGATTATATCTCGTCCTGATTTTGCATGAGATTATATCCTCATCCTGTTTCTGTTTGGGATCCTTTTCGAATAATTAAATCCCCATTGAAACTTTTGTATCTGACCAGGATCCTATTCGAACCCATCATGTCATCCGTGGCGAAAGATAAAGTTGTGTAAACTTCCTGTTATATCTTTCCGGTAATGATCAATTGGTTTACTGTTGTATGGTTTTATATTGCATCATTAAGATATTTCTCTTTTACTTTAGATGACACATTGATCTTTATAGCTTACTCTTTTAGTTTTTATCTTTTCAGATTCTTTTGGTTTTTAGTATACGACTAGTGCTTGAAAGATTGACTAGTCGTACGTTTTTATTTTTGATATCGTACGGACGATTTCAGACTCTGTTTTCTCTATTATTTTATTTTCGTATATTTGTATAGTAATTTGAGTTATTATTTTTTATTGGATTAGGATTTTTCAACCTATTTTATAATACATATATATATTTATACTATTTATATTATGAACCTTTACTATTATTTTTGAATCATACTATTTCTTTACAATGATGTTATAAAATAGAAATTATGATTTTCGTTAATCCTATTACTTTAGTCCCTGAAATTTGATGATAGCATCTAGGTCACTTCTTGGGTACATCAACCTACTGAGAAACCTGAAAAATACTCGTCAATCCCAAATTCGAAATGAAATTTGCCTTTTACTAATCGCCTGAAACAAGCCTATATCAATTCAATGGAATCCCAGGATCAAAACCCAGTTGTGTTAATCACAGGTTGTTCACAGGGGGGAATCGGACACGCCCTGGCTCGCGCTTTTGCCGATAGCAACTGCAAGGTGGTAGCCACTAGTAGGTCTCTGAGCACCATGTCTGACCTGCAAAAAGATCCCAGGTTTTATCTTCAAGAACTCGATGTTCTGTCGGAGCAAAGCGTGCAGCATGTCATGTCCAATGTAATTGATAAGTTTGGTCGTGTTGATGTCTTGGTTAATAATGCTGGGATCCAATGCGTTGGCCCTCTTGCAGAAGTCCCTTTGCCCGCCCTCGAAAATACCTTCAATACCAACGTGTTTGGTAAAGCTTAATCTCTCCTACTTTTTTTTCTTTGTTAACAGAACCAATCGAATAACTTTGGATTTTCTTTTTCGGTTTAATTAGTTCGATTTTTAGAATTTTAGAACCGAATCGAAATGCTCGCCCGATTTACATACATCTACTGCTTCCTTTGGGTGGAGGGTCTTTGTGCTTTATAATTTTGGATTCTGCTGTTAAAAGTTAGTCATAGAGTTATTAAGAACTAGTTTTAAATAAATTGATCTTTCAAGATGAAGTTATTGAATCAATCAATCCATTGTTTGTTGCAACAATTTGACCAAGCTCTGCTCCATTAATTGATCTCGATTCCTTTGAAAGTTGTGGTTGCTGGATGTTGAACCGGGACTATGTCCTAAGTGTTGTCATATTCGAAGTAAACTCGTACTATGTAATCTTCTGTACTCGATGAAAATTTTACTTTAGTTACTGTTCTATGGTTAAAGTTCTTGTTAAGTCAGGGATACAAGGGCCTAGGAGCAGTCTTTCCTTAATTGTTTATGTCTGGAATCTGGATAGTATCACTGCTATGTTGCTCCGACTTTTCATTGTTCTTGAAGTGTGTGTCTGTGGGGTGGGGGTGGGGGTGTCACTCTCTAAATACATGGTAGAACTTAGAAGATGAAAAAAAGAACAAACTTGGAATACACAAATATGACACACACCCGAGTCCGAATAACATGGCTGCATTGTTTTGTTTTTTCATGAACCCAAGTTTCATAAATTCATAACAGCTGTTTGTCTTAGATGAGTTTCATGATTGTATTTCCTTGCGGATCATCTCCTCATGGTTTTTTGGAAACATTTATATCCACTGCATAGTTCTCACTTTATTTTTCCTCCTTTTTTGCTGAATATCAGGAATTGGATTGAAGACCCCTTCCTTAGCCCTAATTAACACAGCAAAACCTTGAGTTCTGATCTGTATAGATGCCACTGATTGTTTTGTGTTTATGGTGTTGTATTTGATTACAGGTTCAATTAGGGTAGTTCAAGCTGTTGTACCTCACATGGCATCTAAGAAAAAGGGAAGGATTGTGAATGTTGGAAGTGTTAGTGCTTTGGCTCCTGGGCCATGGTCCGGTGTCTACACAGCATCTAAAGCAGCTCTTCATGCGCTAACTGATACTTTGAGGTCAGTTTGACATTATATCTGTACAAAATAAAAGGATGCAAAGGCAATTCAATGCCGTCTAACTCCCCTAGAAAAATAATGTTTTTGCACATTTGTTTAGATGGAGGTGACGAAGAATTGAGTTTAGTTTAAGACCAAAATAGCAGTATAGAATAGAACCGAGTAATTTAATCTTTATACGTTTGCTATTGGTGCAAACAAATAATGTTTATAACATTGTCAATGAGATGTTGACGAGAACTGCTAAATCTGACAATGCAAACCTGTATATAGAACTGAAGTAGCAAACCTTTTTCTTCTATTAAAGAATGTAAGCTTTTTGTCTGGTTTTGGAAGTTCATGTCAGTATCTGGATGGTTTTCCATTAACTTGGTTATTAATTTTACTTGTTTGCACCAATATAAGATGTGTACCGATTAATTTACTGGATTATATAGTATAGAGACTAAATTGCACTTTTGACTATAATGTAGGGACTATTGTCAATTGAAATTTTAGTTAGCTCTTTTGTTCTTTTTCATCTGAATGGATTCAAAATCCACCAACAATTTCATTATTCAAATTTGTCATCCAATTCCAATTTTACAACTTAGTTGTTAATATATTCAAAATCTGATGCATTTGCTGCATGATATTTCTTGGAATTCTAAAGCTTTCAAATCTTGTCATTATCTTTGAGGGCGCAGTTGGTTTTGAGGAATTAAACATGGCCATTGCTTATGCACATCGCTTTTCTGTATCTTGTCTACTAAAAATATCCAGGTATTTTCTTATCAAAAAATAAAAATAAAAATATCCAGGTATTTTAATTTAGGTTGCTTTGTCACAATTCTTCTTGAAGTATGATGCACATCTGAATATGAGTATAAGGAGCCTTCCAAACACATAAAAACTTAGCAGAATTGAACATATCTGTGTTAACACATATTCATATCAAACACTCATTCCTGAGATTGAGTAAACATAGTTTATAACATCTTGTATGTTGCCAAGATCCAAATATTTGTGAGTGATTTATCATCTTATATATGTGTATATTTTGTATCAAACTTACTTTAGCTGTATTTTCACAACTAGGAAGCTTAGATCCTCCTCCTGAAAAGGAAAGAGTATTCCCAACCTGAGGATATATTTTTTTTTGACAGAAACCCAAGGATATTTTAAGTAACTGAATATGTGGTATTCTTTACTTTAGGATATTTGAATATATATGTATGATATGACTACCGGATAATACGCGCGCGCGCACACACACGCTATGGCTACAGGATAACTTCTGGTTTTGGTAGGAGTCGGGGCTCAAACCTTGAACCTTCTGGTTTATTGTGGACGAAGACTCTGCCAGTTTGAATTCCCGAAAGAGGAACTTTGTTTGAGTTTCTGGCCTAAAACCTGTAGGTCATTTGAGATTATGATTTGTTAAGGCTTGAAAGAAAACAAATATAATTAGATAATGACTACTAATTAATCTCTTAAATGAAAATGACCCTCGAAAGACATGAAAAAACTTTCAAAACAAGTATGCATACCTATACCAGACATGCTCGTATACAACACTTGTACTCGAGTCTACGTAATGTAGGATAATCTCTTAAAATCTCTGAAACCAAGCAAGAACTCCCTAAAGGGAAACTTTGTATGAGTTTATAGCTCAAAACATGTAGGTCATATGAGATTATTATTAGTTAAAACTTGAAAGCAAACAAAAGAAAACACCTATAATTATATAATGGCAGGTTGTTAATCTTGCTTTGCTCCGGTTCTTCATTTTTTGAAGTACACTTGTCCAACACATATTCATATATAGCTATGAGAACATAACCCTCTAATGACACTTCAAATACATGAAAATACACTTTGAAAACAATTAAGCATACCCGTATTAGACACATGCTCGTATACAACACACACACTTGAGTACGAGTAATTTAGGGTAATCCCTTATGATCTTCCAAACCAAGCGAGAACGTAGTTTTTTGTTAATAATATTTTGTGTTGTATGCAGATTGGAGCTGAGCCATTTCGGGATCGATGTCATCAATGTTGTTCCAGGAGCTGTAAGATCAAACATAGGGAATTCTGCTATTTCTAGCTACAACAGGATGCCCGAGTGGAATCTATACAAACCATTCGAACAAGCCATCCGAGAGAGAGTTTACTTTTCACAAAGATCCAAGACAACCCCAACGGATGTGTTTGCAAAGGATACCGTGAAGGTAATACTGAAGAAAAATCCACCAGCTTGGTTCTCAACAGGTCATTACTCCACTATTATGGGAATTATGTATCATTTGCCAATTTTTGTCAAAGATTTCATCATTAGGAAAGCAATGAAAGGTTGATTTCTTCAACCTCGCACCTGCTGCAGGTTTAATGTAGTTACTTGGATTTTTATGTCACGATAACATAGCTTTTTAATCTTTAAACTCAATCAAACCTTTTAGAGTATTTTGGCATGATTTATTTTATATTTTGCTTAAAATAATAAAGATTTTATGACTCTAGAACCAGTTGTACGGTAGATAAAAGAATAGTTCTAGTAATCTGAATGACCAAATTGTAGAGACATCAACATCAGTTTAATTTGTTGCTGGTCACTGTTTTTCGCCATATGAGTATTTGGGCAGTTAACTGGGAAAGGTGTTATTGTTCGGCATGTGTTGAGAACACTTAACTGGGAAGCGGATGAATTTGCCAAACTGGGGATAGGCTAATTGGATGGGATTTTTTTTGTGGCGTTGAGTTTGTTGTATTGGGGTTTGCCGGTATTTTTTGTCATTGTGATTTGTTTGCATTTGGTCGAGTAAATTTAGGAGTTAGTTTTTGAGTAGGGTATGATCATTGATGCGTTTATGTAGTGCAATGCAGCACAGTGTTGAGTTGGTTGCCAATGGTTTTTGGTGGTAGTGTATTTTTATTGTACTCGGTATTTATGCAATAAAATTCTAAGACACTCTTTTCCTCCTTCCAATGCCCGTTGAGTCACTATTGTTACTTGGCAGTTATGAAGAGGTTTTTTTTTAACGAGGTCTTCCTTTTTATCAAAAGAATTTGGGCAGTCAAGTAATCCTTCCGGACAACGATGATTATCAGAAATAACTTTCTTGGCAACCAAAGACGCCATTTTTATTTGGAGGATTCCTTTCCTTCTCATTGGCTTTAAACGTTTGAATAAAGAAGCAAAACTTATGTTTATTTGTTTTTGTTTTTGGTATTCTACTACATTCTTAAACAAAATGCATGCAACAGGACAAGTCCGATAATGTATAATACAAACATTATAAACTACAAAGAGGTAATTATGTGACATTCTTATCTTCACCAGAACATACAGACCAATAAATACAGAAAGAATCCGAGAAGCAACCAGAGAGAAACTAGGGCAACTAGGACCTTATCATCACTGCCTGGTGTTTCTTTCGTGTGTGGCTTGCTTTGCAGGAACTTGTTCTTCCGGAAGAGGCAAATGGTAGATCTTAGGAGTTGCTTTGGTTGTCCAAAATAGGTCATCTAGGGTGAGCATAGGTGAACCTGGTTCCTCTGAAGGCAGCAACGGCGGTGGAACCTGTTGATGAGTTGAGGGTTGGGACTGAGAAGTGAGTCTTTCAACTTCATGAGGATCCAAAAATTCAGCCACCAATAGACGTCCACCATTAGGTGGCCATTGCGGGTTATAAATTGCATTATGTGTCTCCATTGCTTCTTGCACAGATGGATACTGCATATACAGAATTATAACAGGGACTAAATATGTCGAAAACACATAGTACACGGACGGACCATAGAATTCGAGCAAAGTTCTTTTCTATATCTGATTGAGAAATGAGAACTTACCATCTTGGTCCTTGGTCGTATCTTCACTATCTGTGGAATCTGATGAGGAAGATTTGGATCGAGAAGCAGCAGGTTGCATGGTGTCTTTAGGCGTGTCGGTCAGTGTAAAGTCATCAGAGTTCCACTTGTACCTTTTTGGAGATTCACTGTTCTCCTTAGCTTCTTCATCTGTAAAGACAACTAATATTGTGAGAATTGCCCCACCAAATGGAGGTTTCAATTATAATACTTCCTCACTTACCTTGAAGCTTTCTTTTCACCGCAGGAATAGAATAATGGCTCTTATTATCAACAAAGAGTTCATTTTTGTCTGTTGATGAACCATCTCCTGCAACAACATGAATTGCCAGTTCCTTGATAATAAGTGATTCGTTCTCCTCACTATCTTCTCCTATTTCATCAGTACTACTTTGTGAATCACATTGCTTGGTTTCAGGCAAATCCTTGTCCATGGAGTCATCACTCGAACTTCTATCGAAATTTAACTTTTCCGAGTACACCCTCTCCTCACTGTCATCTGTATTGCTAGTGTCTGCAGTTGATGTATCATTTTTGTCGTCTCTCTCATCATCAACAGATGTCTTGTTCTCAAGCGGTTGTTCATCATCCATTGAATGCGATTGACCATTATCTGGGACAACATTGCTATATGAACATGGTCTGACCATCTCCGGCTTAACAACATCTTGGGTTAGTTTGACATCAATTAGATTATCCTTCAGTTCAATCTTTTCACTAATTGACATAGAATCAGATTTTGCTTGAAACCCAGAAATTTGGTTGATCTCAGGTATCTGATTGTTCAAAGAAGAAGCGCCATGCTTGTCATCCCCATTCTCCAGCTGAGCCTTCGGATCATCAGTCTCGGCCTCAACCTTTGGACTCTCATTGTCCACCGGAAACTTTCCATCTTGACACTCCATTTGGGTGCTAGAATTCGTATTTTCTTCTTGTTTTGATCTCTGCAAATGTTCTCCGATCAGTGGTACCTCTGTTACCAAGGGCTTATCTTCCACCACCATGTCACTTTCTTCAACTACTCCATGAGCAGATGCAGCCTCACAATCACTAATATCATCTTTAAACTTCAACCCACACCACTTCTCATTCTCACTATCGCCATGGTCCGCTACATTTTCCACTTTCTTGTGCATGTCATCCTCTTGATTATCATTCCCTAGCTGAGCCTTAGGATCATCACTCTCCTCAGGCTTTGAACTCCCATTCTCCACTTCAAGATTTCGATCTTGATTCTCCATTTGTGTGTTGGAATTCACATTCTCTTCTTGTTTCGAGCTCTGCGAATGTTCTCCGATCAGAGGTACCTCTGTTACCGAGGCCTTATCGTCCACCAACATGTCAGTTTCTTCAATCACTCCATGACCAGATGCAGCCACACAATCACTGATATCATCTTTAAACTTCAACTCACACTCCTTATTCTCACCACCACCGTGACCCCCAACATCTTTAACTTTCTTATGGATGTCATCCTCTTGATTCTCATTCTCTAGCCGAGTCTTAGGATCATCACTCTCCACTTCAAGATTTCGAACTTGACTCTCAGTTTGCATGTTGGACTTCACATTCTCCTCTTGTTTCGAGCTTTGCAAATGTTCTCTGATCAGTGGTACCTCTGCTACCACGGGCTTATCTTCCACCACAATTTCTTCAACCACTTCATGACCAGATGCACTCACACAATCACTAATATCATCCTTAAACTTCAACCCACACCCATTCTCAATCTCACCACCACCATGATCCACTACATCTTCAACTTTCTTATGCATGTCATCCTCTTGATTCTCAATCTCTTGCTGAGCCTTTGGATCATCACTCTCCACTTCAAGGTTTGGACTCCCATTCTCCTCTTCAAACTCTTGATCTCGACTCTCCGTTTGCATGTTGGAATTCGCATTCTCTTCTTGTTTCGAGCTATGCAAATGTTCTCCTATCAGTGGTCCCTCTGTTACCGTAGCTTTATCATCCACCACCATGTCACTTTCTTCAATCACTCCATGGCCAGATGCAGCCACACGATTATTAATATCATCTTTAAACGTCAACTCACACTCCTCATTCTCACCACCACTATGATCCACTACATCTTCAACTTTATTATGCATGCCATCCTCTTGATTCTCATTCTCTAGCTGAGCCTTAGGGTCATCACTCTCCGCCTCAACCTTTGGACTTCCCTTCTCCACTTCAAGCGTTTGATCTCGACTCTCGGTTTGCATGTGGGATTTAGCATTCTCTTCTTGTTTCCAGCTCTGCAAATGTTCTCCGATCAGTGGTACCTTTGTTACCGAAGCCTTATCATCCACCAACTTGTCACCTTCTTCAATAACTCCGTGACCAGATGCATCCACACAATCACTAATATCATCTTTGAACTTCAATCCAAACTCCTCATTCTCGCCACCACCATAATCCCCTACATCTTTAACTTTCTTATGTATGTCATCCTCTTGATTCTGATTTTCTAGCTGAGCCTTGGGATTATCACTCTCCACCTCATGCTTTCGATCTCCGCTCTCCATTTTCACGTCGGAATTCACATTCTCTTCTTGTTTCGAGCTCTGCAAATTCTGTCCAGGCAATGGTACCTCAGGTATCACGGTCTTAACTACAATGGTCTGAATAACAGGCTCATCTTCCACCAACATATGCCTTTCCTCAACCACTCCATGACCCGAACCAGTGGATGAATACGGTTCCGCCATCACCGGCTCAACAACATCTAGGCTTATTTTGACATTATCATCAATCATATCATCCTTTGGCTCAGGTGCCACTGGATCTTGACACTCCATTTCCATGTTAGAATTCACATTCTCTTCTAGTTTCCAGCTCTGCAAATGTTCCCTTTCCACCAGTATGCCCCTTTTTTCAACTACACCATGACCCGAAGCAGTCGGACAGTCAGTAATATTATCCTCAAGCTTCAACCCACCATGATCCACTACTTCATTGACTTTTTCAGTCCCTTCTTCAACTGCAGGTTGAGAATCACCATTGTTAAAACCATTAGCTGCCTCGTTTGCAGCTTTTTCCCTCTCGGTTCTAACAGCGACATCTAAGCGTCTCACCAAATCCTTTTTCAAGCCTCGAGTTGTCAAATGCCGTCGCTTGAGTTCTTCTCTCAACTCTACAACTTTCCATTTATCGATTGGTCGATTATCCAGTATTTGAAACTTTGATGACATGTTTCGATGCCTTCTTCAGAAAACTATATTTCCATTAGAAATCAAGAAGGAAAAGATTCTAAGAAATATTAAGTCAAAATCATTATTCTCGTTATTTATATTTTTATTTTATCTGCCAATTATTATTGCTACTCTTTTTATAAATTGATTCTAAGAAATATTAAGTCAAAATCATGAGAACATAAACTAATATTTTTAAATAATAACTTTTTTTAGCTTAAATTTTGAAATAAATATTTTTTTAAATGTTTATTGACTTTAAAATGAAGTAATTTAACTCTTCTTATTGAAGCCTGGATAAAGATATTAAAAAGTAAAACCTTTGCATCCCTTTTATAAAAACAAAATTGTATCGATTGACTTGATGATGGCGGCTGGGACCATTGTTATTAATATTAAGGTAATT